TAGATTGCCCAATCTTCCTTCCAAGGAGTGGCTGGTGGGTTTGAACCGCCAGCCTTCTGGATAGCAGTCAAATGCCTTAGGCACTACGCCACCAGAGCTCCTAGGTTATGCATAGGAATCCTGAAACACACACACACACACACACACACACTCATCCAGGATACTCCTCGGTGTCCTTAAAACACACACATTACACACACTCATATACACAAACTCACATACATACCACACAGGCTCACATATACATCCACACACACACTTCCATACATACACATCACAAACACATTCACAAATATACAAGTACCACATAAAAACAGTGATATACACAAACTCACACACACATCCTCGCATACAATTCACACACACATATCACATGTACACGCATATATACAAACATCACATGTACATGCATTCACATACACACACACACAAATAGCACATTCACATATACTCACACACATGCGTTCACATACACACTCACGCACACGTGTGCACACGCTACTCCAGACACAGAGGTCTGAACCTTAAGTACAGCCTTTGCTGGCCAGCCACTCTTTTGACAAGTTCTCCGTGAAGAGTCTGGCCCTGCTTTTCTGATGCTCCCCCCACCCCTGCCCCCCGTTTTCTAGGCTTTTCATCAGCGGTTGGGTTGCTCAGGCCTGGCTTCACCTCCCAGCCTGGCCTGGCCTGGCCTGCGTCTCTCCTGCAGCCTAACTCTAGGACAGGCCCCTGGCGTCTGCTGCCCCCCGAGGGCGGATCACGCTCTTAGCTCTCTCCGAGGCTGGGGCACTAATCCTCAATAAGGCTTAGAGTCCCGAGAAACAGACATTCCTGTCCTGCCCCAGCCTGGCCCTGAGGTACCCACAGCCAGACACCTGTTAGCATGCGTCTGTCCCTTGCCCCTCCTCTAAGAGGTGGGCTTTTCCCATCAGACCTCGTAAGACATCTGACCTCAACTCCCACGGCCCCAAACTGTCACTGCCACTGCTACCCACCTGCCTGGTCCAACATCCAAAGCACTTAGGAGCTGGCCCAGGGACAGAGCCCTCAGATGCAGACGCTGGGCCCCATCACGTCTCCCCACACAACCGTCTTCGCTGTGTCTCCCTGAGAGGCTGCAGAACTGGGGCCCTGGGGTCCCTGACCACAGCAAGGAGCCCCCTCCATACTACCCTTGATGTGACAGCCATCACGTCCATTCCCAAGAGGGTCCCAAGGACTAAAAACCTGAGGGGCTCCCACGACAGA